ATTGTAAATACTACTAACCCCGATTTAACTATAATAAAATTCACCGATCAAAGAGGTCACCTTAAAGAGAAAAAAAAAATAAATAAAATTATGTCACGTTATATCATATGATATAGTATATATCCAGATATATAAATCCGGATAGAGGTATTAACTTTATACCTGCATTTAATAATCAAAATTATTAATAAAAAAAACTATATATACTTAGTATGTATGTATGTATATATGTACATATATACTATGTATATAAATAGTTAATATATACTAAGGTTTGTTTGATTATATATATGTATAAATACTGTATCCAATTAAAAATTTTTGAAATACTTGCCTGCAATTCTAAGTATTTTAGTATTAATTATATTTCCCTATATAGTAAAATCAAGACCTTCACCCTGATATCTTGAATTAAGAATATATGCTACAATAACTCAGAATTATATAAAAAATTAACATATCTATTTCTAGCTACTTGCAAAGTATCATTACATAATTTTTCAGAAATTTGAGAATTATTTGTAACTTTATTTTTTAAGTTTTGCAAAGTTTTATATGCCAATAAAAGATATAGCTCATTGCTTTCTAATTGGTATATAAAAATAATAAAAGGCTTTAAAAAATCATAAAATCTATCCAAAATTGATAATCCAAAATCATTTCTTTAATATTATCATTTATTTTAATACTGTTCTTAGCTAATATATATATATTGCAGACTGTGTTTGCAAAATATAATCAAAACATTCAAAAGATGATGTTTATTTAGTATTTACTATTAGAGTAAATGTGATTTCAAGATTATATTTTTCTTTTTGTAAACAATAAAGAATAGCTAATAGAATTAAATGATTATGAAAAAATAAAACTAAATTTTTTTTTTTAAGATTTGCACAGCTCATTCATTTTTAAGAATATCTTTAATCCAAAGATTAATTCCATGTGCTTAGTATCCAAAAAAAGCTTTATCAGAATATTTTGTTCTTAAAATATTCTATACAGCTTTTATATTATTTACATTGTCTGTAATTATACTAACAAATTTGTTAATTTCGAATTTTTTTATTATATTTTTAATCTCTTTAGCAATATTTTCAGCTTATGATGTTCTTCATTAGTATGAACCAATTTGTAAAAAATTGAAGCAAGTATAGTAATTATATAATTAATTATGAATGATTTATTAATATTTGACCAACCATCACTAACTAAGCAATAGTAAGGTGATTTGTCAAGAACATCTTAAATGACTACTTGTAAATCAATATATTTCTTATTAAGAAGTAAACTAGAAAGAGTATTATGTAATAGAATCTTAAAAGAAAGACAAGCCTTTTAAGAAAATCTTCATTTTCAATTATATTTAATAGAATTCTAGAAGTAAAAAAGCATGAACAAAGTAATGATTTCAATTTAGGTTGATCTTGTTGAAGAAAATTATCCAAGGCTTATTGTTTTTGTTTATTATTGCTATTAGATGATTTAGATAACTTATTTGATATTAAATTTTTAAAAGCGCAGGTTTTTATATACTTTACATTTGTAATGTTTTTTTTTCTTTTTATCAATTCATCTATTATACTCTTCTTATATTTCCAAGTTTTTATTCTGGATCATTTTTAATTTATTATAAAATAATACTTGTTTATAAATAACTTTTAATAAATTGAGTGAACAATTATTAAAATAAATTGAATAAACAATTATTACAATAAATTGAGCAAACAATTATTACAATGAATTGAGTGAATAATTGTTTATAAATAACTTTAATAAATTGAGCAAACAATTATTACAATGAATTAAGCAAACAATTATTATAATGAATTGAGTAAACAATTATTATAATGAATTGAGTAAATGATAATTACATAACTCTGTATTTAGTACCTGGTACAATAAATATTTTAAAATATTATTTATATTATATGTGGTATTTAATACATATGACTCTTAATTTTTATAATATAAAAATTATGTCAAAATATTAAATACATCTCTCAGAGTTATTTTAAAAAATTACATGTACTTAAAATTACAAATTATATAAAAATCAGTTTACCATAAACTTATACAAAATTACATAAAATTATGGTAATTTGACAACTCTAGTCAAAGGACATATTTATAGTAATTATACAGGCAAATTTGCTTGCAAATCCACTAATTAAGGGATAGTATAAATTTTATAGTCTTTATACTATTTTTGTATATAGAGAGAAATCAATAAAAAAAAACAATTATTTTTAGTAACTTTTAGTTTGATTTTATAGTTATATATAATTAAAATAAAAAAATTTTATTGAATTGATTTGGTAATTGTTGAGACATTTTAGCTTAAAGTTGAAAAAATTTTATTTAAAAAAAATTGGTCTTTTTTTATTGACTTTCTCTATATATTTTTTTATGATAACATAATAGCATAATGCTGTGAAAATATCAAAAATTAATATAACTTTTTTTTGGAGATAAAATTTAAAATAATATTTTTAATTAATAAAAATTCATAAGTCGTAAAACATTTTGTTTAAAGTATGCGAACCAATGTATGTACGTACATATAAAAAGCTAACATTATAGGTGCATTAACACAAATTTTTTAATAATAAAGATGCCAGAAATCTAAACACAAATAATACTCCTAATAAATGCGTCGCTGATCGATATTATTGATCTACATCTTTTCATCTTTTTAATTTTTGCTTTGTAATTGAAAAATAACCGAATTTGATTATCATACCAGGGGCGTAAAGTTAATATGGTTACACCCAGGGTAGCGTTGACAATAGCAAATAGACATTAGCTATCAACAGTTAAACAAAATGGAGCCAATGAGGTTAATAATGAGGATCTACTCATTCATTTCATTCGGTTCATACTCCATTGGATTAACAGCTATACATTAATGAGAAGCATAACTTTTTTTTATTCTACGTAAGGATATTTTTCAATTACCTAACCAAATTTGATATAGAATTAAAATCATTTCTTAATCTTTTTTGAATTGGTAATTGTTGAGATACGTATAAGCTAAAAACCTTGGCGCAGGGTTCTTTTTACCCAATAATTAAAACTCGACAATTATCAATCAATTATCAATTAACACAATGAATTTACATAGTAAATTTTATAGACTTTGGCTAAATTTGCCAACCTTGTTCCGGGCATTAATCAAGAATTATTAGGCCCACGAGACTATTTTATGAATATACTATATCTATACGTATCAATACGTATCAATATACAATACTGCAATAGCTTATACAGTATAGCTTATACAATGGTAACTGCACAAATCATGTGAAGTTTTAGAAACTGTCAAACTTTGCACGATCGGGTAAATAATTATGTAAAATATGATTGGTAAATTTTTTTATAAGTCATCTTCAAAGGGGAGTGTAATGTTGGAGCCTATTATTAATTAAATGCGAGATATTACATCATTCGATTGATCATTATTTGATTTAATTACGGAATTCAAGGAGATCATAACAGGTAATGATTAATAAGATGCTACACGTATTGTAAATCATATACGTATGTTTATTGAGACGTTAAAACAAAGCTCTTGTATACGCGTTTCTTCGAGACTTAATAAAGAGTTGATATACATTATAACAGATCACAAGAAACAGGCAATTTTGATCGATCGACGTAGCAAATAAAAATTTTTAACACTTGTAAAATTTGTCAACGAGAAAAAAAAAAACTTAAAATGTAAAAGCCTCAAATATTTATTACCTCCAGCCAATTTAAACCACGGTGTCCACGTGTCATGACATTAAAAAAACCGTTAAAATGCGTCTACTGCATATAATTAAACGGTGAACAATGGAACGTTAATTTATCATGTTTACGATTCGAAAAAAAAAATTTTTGCTTTAAATATATATTTTTTTTAATTTTATTTTTAACTTTAATTCTTTCAATTCCTGTCAATACAGAATGCTTTCATTACTAAAACGTGGCATTTAATAAGGAATTATAAACTAGTGCACGAAAAAATTAGGAATAAATTTTTTTTTTTTTGTACAAATTTATGATAATCTGGGCTCAATCTGGAATTTAACTCTTGCAGTTTTACTCCTGAAAGTTTTGTCAATATTTGTGCAGATTTTTCGGTGTGACGAACAGCGGACTTTGAAAAGCTGGAAACTCCTTGGTTCAAGCAAGTGTCGAACAGTAATCTTATAGGTTGATTTTTAGATGTTGTGGCTTATTTCTTAATTTTAACATTATTATATACGTCACCACATATCAATTCGAGCAAAATTCCGCCCAACGAAACCAAAAAATAAAAAAAAAAAATAAAAAAAAATAAATTAACGCGGCTACACAATGTAAGCTTTTTATAAAAATAGTTATTTTTTTTCAAACTTTTTATTTCCTGACTATCATTACTATTTTATTTTATGTTTAGTTTCTATAATAAGCAGTCGTTCCTCGAATCTTCTTCCTCTTAATAAAAACAACTAGCGCCGCTCCGTGTGCAAAACATCGAAATAATTTTCGGAACATGGAGCGGGATACTTACGCTTTATATCATACTTTGGGTGTACAAAAGACTGCTACTGAAGAAGAGATTAAGAAAGCATATAGACGCCTGGCGCTAAGATACCACCCGGACAAAAATCCAAATGCTGCCGATCAGGTTCGTACTTTATTAATTCTCTATTTATTATGACTAAGGTATTAAAGATCTTGTATATACTTTGGTACCTAGTAAATACATTCAAAATATATTTATAGTATTTCATTTTTTTTTTTAAAAAAAAAAAATGCTGTTTTTAAACCCTTTTTATAAAGATTATTACTATATTTTTAATACTTGTTTTATTATCTTTATTAAAAGTTCAAGGCGATTACTCATGCTTATGAAATATTAGGAGATCCAAAAAAACGTCAAGTGTATGATAAATATGGAGAGATGGGAATTAGTATGCTGGATTCTGTAGCTGGTTTCCTGTTAGATCCAGAAATTCAAGGACCACTATGCATGCTATTCACAATACTTTCAATTTTGGTCATCCTCATAATCCTGTTTTTCGTCTTCTTATCAATAAGAGTAGATGGTGCTGTATCATGGAGTTATGGAATTGTATTCTTACCAATATGGATTGAAGATTTTATTTTATTTTTGGTACTTATTGCTTATGCTAATGCAAGAAAAGATCCTTCTGAAGATGGTGATAATGATGATGAATATGAAGGTTTATATCATCAAGATCCTGAGGTTAGAGAACAAGCTAGGGAAGCAAGGCGAAAACAGCAAAGAGCTCTTTATAGGACTCGTAATTTTTTATATAATGCTTATTTGGTAATGATCGTATTATTTGAAGCTTTTATCGTTCTTAGAGCTGATGATAAAATAAGTTGGAGTGCCGCTATTATATTTGCTCCTTATTTTATTGTTGAGGGTATCAATTTATATCCTAATTTCTTAGAATTCTTGGATTTATTAAAATCTACTAGAGTACTTGATGTCAATGGCAGGCCTTCCATTTATCTTAAGATTAAATGTTTCTTTGATACTTTTTGGTGGTTTATTATCAGAGTATCTTTTGCCATTTTGATTGTACTCAGAATTGATCAAATTATCGTTTGCAGTTGGGGCTTGGTTTTTATTCCATTATATTTAGTTGGTATTAAATATGGTCTTCGAATTTTATGGTTATGGTGGAATTTAAGAAGAACTGAATCTCTACAGAATAAGGGAAAAGTGGATGTTGTGGTTGGGGCTATTTCTTTTGTTGTGGTGGGAACCCTATTTTATACTGTTATAGGATTATTAGCTAGTAGATTAGATGGTAATACGGGAATAAAAGTATCTTCAATCCTAATTCCTGTATTTATCACATTATCTTTCGCATTTTGTTGCACGGGGTGCTGTTTACCTTGTATTCTCTTAGTATGGAATGCGGATGATCTTGAAAGCGGTTCTGATCCTTCGCTTAAAACTTATGATAAACGGATTACTTATCCTACAGCGGCTGGTCCAAGTACTTCATTTGCTAGTGGTAGCAATGAAACTGTATAATATTCAAATATTAAAAAAAATATATGATTTAATATGATGCCGATTACTACTGCGATCTTTGGCTGTATAGTAGATTAGATTATAATAATTTCTTTTTCCGGCACCTCTTTTTTAAAAAAAAACTTCATTGTTAATTTTTTTCTTCATGATGTATATTAATAATTACGCAAATTAAGCACAAAAATTATTTTTTTTTTTTAAAAAAAAAAGAAAAAAAAAAAATTTATTAGACACTATTGAAAATTTTAGATTTTTTCTTTTTTTTTTTTTGGATTGTTGATATTCGTGAATTTTGGGTGGATATTTAAATAATTTTATTATTATTATTTCTTTTTTAGTAGGCTTCAGACTACTAGCAATCATTAAAATGAAAATTTATATCATAATAATATTATCATAGTATATGCATATATATATTATGTATATATCAGATTATATAACAGAATATATATCAGATATATATGTATATATATATTGTAATTATACATGTATTTTTTTATTCATAATTGAAATTGTTCATTATTCAACATTCTTTGAAAATCATTTAGATAATATAGATAATAAATTTCAACAACCTTTTTTATAATACGCATGACAAATATATCCCTAGTTCAGCAGTTCAACGGTTCAAATTTTCTTTAAAAGTTCTTTTTTATTAAATATTTATGGGATTAGTTTTTCTAAAAAAGTCGAAAACCGACCACGAGATAGTCACGAGACCATAACAATGATGAAATTCTAATTTTAGTTTTAAATATTTGATTGGTTGAATATCGGCTTTTTTCTTAATATTCTATTGGTTCAAAAAGTAATGTATCAAGATCGAAACAGAGCATTCCTAGAATTTCATATTAAAGAATCAAACACTTCTTGCAAACTGCTTGTAAAAAAAAAAAAAAAAAGAAATAATTAGTTTATGTGCAAAGTTCTTTGTGGTGAACATATTGTAAAGTATTATCAAAAGATTCCTCTTTACAGTATATAAATTTGGCCTGGTGATACGGCTTAGATCACCCGTATTGCGAAATCTGGCTGCTGTGGTTTACCTTGTTTAAAGATCTTTAGTCTTTGAACTTTGATCGTATTTGTAAAGTCTTTAATATATCAGTAACGAACGACTTCTTTATATAACGTAATAACGTTTCATATGGCCATGGAAGTTAAACAACGCCGTGTGAAAGTGTACCAACTGAGTAGGGAAAGCGAATGGTTGGACAAAGGTACCGGCTTTTGTACCTGTTTAGTTAACGAGGTAGGATCGCTCTCCGCCATTTATGTTTTAAATCAAAATAATTCCTGGATCTGCTTTTCGGTGTTTTTTGATCGAATAAAGCTCGAAAAATTATTTATATTCAACTATTGGAACTATTGGAACTATTGGCTTGATACTGCTTTAATTGTTAAATTCAACTCTCGGATTTATATAATGGTTTTAAGCTTATATCATTTTTATTGGTTTTCAAATATTCTATTAAACTATAGGCAAAGGATGATGCTTGTATCATCGTCCGCTCTGAGGAGGATACAGCTGTTTTATTACTGAACTCTCGCATAATGAAAGATCATGATTATCAAAAGCAACAAGGTACTCTATTATTGATTTCAATATTCCACTATTTTATACTCAGATGCTTAACTCATTTTACTCAATTTTATGAACAGACACGTTAGTAGTCTGGACTGAACCTAATGGATTAGATTTGGCTTTAAGTTTTCAGGAAGCTGAGGGTTGTACAGAAATATGGTACTTGTTTTAGATAAAAAAGAATCTTTTAATAATTATTGGTATTGTAGATATTTTTTACTTAATCACTGTGACCATATAGGGAGTTTATATCGGACATTAAAGTTCGTATGGGCAATTCAAATTCTAGTGGTGAGTTATCACTAGATATTGGATTATTCTAGAAACCAATTTTTTTTTTTTTTTTTTTCATTAAATGACATTATCACTGGCTCATTTTTTATTAGATGCGCGATCTAGTCCTCCACCAGAACCGGAAATACCGAATATGACGATAAAACTACCGGAGCCAACCTTGTCTAATTTAGAAGAAATTGAAACAATAATTAAAGTGTCGAGTCGGTCCATTTATGAACGAGAAAAGCTAGCAGCATTTGTTACGCAGGTACTTATGTCTATATTATGACACATTAAATAAAATTATTATTATTTTTTTTTATTCGTATTGTCATAGTAAAGAGTTTACATGTCATGAGCTTGGTGTAGTTTCATTCGTATTTACTTTTATTTACTTTTTTTTATTTATTTTTATTAACTTTAATGGTTTTCTTTTTCTATTAGGGTTACATTGCTAAATTATTACCTCTACTTGCGACATGTGAGGATCTTGAAGATTTAAAAGACTTACATAGATTATGTAATATAATGAAAGGCATTAGTATGTGTTTTGTTTGTCCTTTTGATTGTAAAATTTTCAGCATTTACGACTTAATTCTGACCAACATTTATCTACCTTTCATAGTAATGCTTCAGGATAGCGAAATTTATGAATTTATTTTACGCGACGATGTTATTATGCAAGTGGTTGGAATGCTAGAATGTAAGCTAAATATCTGTAAAAAAAACTTAATGTTGTAATTTAATTTCACAGTAATCTTTAAAATTTAAATGGTTTTTTTTATAGATGATCCCGAATTTCCCAATTACAAAGCTAACCATCGCCAATATCTGGCAGATAATTCAAAATTTAAAGAAGTGAGATTAATTATTTTAAATCACAGTATTATATAAAAATTATTTAAACATTTTATTTGTCATTTTTTTTGTAGATTGTTAAAATAAAGGATAAGGCGATCGAAACAAAAATTCATGAAACTTTTCGCCTTCAATATCTCAAAGATGTAGTGTTTGCGCGTGTATTCGATGATCCGACAAGTTCCATACTTTCATCACTTATTTTCTTTAATCATGTTGATATTTGCAAACACTTTTCACAAGATGATGAATTTTTGGAAGAACTCTTTAATATTGTTAATGAAGAAAATGGGTCACCAAAACGTAAACGTGATGTTATCATGTTTGTTCAACAACTTTGTTTTATCGCCAAAAGTATTCATGTACAACATAAAAAAGAATTGTACAGGTTGGTATAAAAATTATTTAAGCTTATTAATATAGCATATAATCATATTAGAACCATTTCTAATTGATTAATTGATTTAATTAAAATAAAAATAGGTCGTTAGCAAGGCATGGACTATTTAAAGTTTTTGATCATTCATTGGTGGATGATGATCCAACCGTCAAGACTGCTGGTGGTGAAATATTAGCGTCTCTTTTGGATACAGACGCAAGTATTATTAGATCTCATATTGTAAAGCAGGCTGAGGGCAAAAAGAAAACTTTGGCAGAAACAATCATTGAAAGATTTATTCAAGATTCAGATTTGGGTGTAAAAGCTCAATATGCTGAAGCTCTTCGGCTTTTACTAGATATGAATGCTGGGTTATCAGAGATGGGTTTTATAGTTCCAGAGGTTTGTCATATACATTCATAATATATTCTTCTTAAAGATGTTAATCAAAGATTTTTTTATCTAATCATTTATTCGTTTGTTAATAGTCATTATCTCTGCTTCAACCTAAACATGATGATGATATCGATAATTTTTTAAATTTATTCTATGAAGAACTTATATCAAAGATGGTAAAGCCGGTTTCAGACCTTGAAAAAGAAGATGGTGAATATTATTATTAAATATTAGAATAAAGGTTTTTTTTTTAATGTCTCAATAATAATAATATTTTTCTTGTTTAATTTCATTATATTCTAATTAAATTTATAGAAGTTCTTAGTTTATCTCCTGACATAGCAGCATTATGTTTTCATATATGTGAGCTCTTGTCATTTGTTATCCGACAACATACTTTTAGAAGTAAATATTTTGTATTATCAACCGATATATCATCAAAAATATGCATGCTATTTAGATGTCCTGAAAAGTATGTAAAATTAGGTGAGGCTTAAAAATTTCTTATCTATTATTGATTGATATTTTATAAAAATTAATTTTTAAAAAAATGAATACTAATGTAAATATATTTTAAAGCCGCTTTGCGGTACTTTCGAGCCTGTATAGGTATGAAAGAAGATTTTTATAATAGATATCTAGTACGTAATAATCTTTTCGATCCCATAATACGCGTGTTCATGGAAACGAAAGGACGGGATAACTTATTAAATTCAGCGTTTCTTGAGCTATTTGATTCCATAAGAAAGGTACAATTATTCATATATATTATATATATTTCAATCAGGAATGAAATTTATTTTTATTAATTTTATAGGACAATATTAAATATCTTATTACACATATAATGGAAAGGCATGGTGAACAATTGTTAAAAATTGATTACGTTGACACTTTTCAACAACTTCAACTTCGTTATGAACAAAATAAAGAAATCCTTATTGGATCAGATAAATCACCTGGTGAATCTAGTCAAAGGTATATATATTTTTAAAGCTTCATATATTTGGTGTTACTTACAGCTTAGTATTTAACCGATTTGCTGAATATAAATTACAGTCAAAGCAATATACGTCAAACAGGTCGCGAAGGTTGGTCATCTGGAATAGGTGATGAAGACGAAGATGCGTACTTCAACACTTCAGATGAAGAAGATAATATTAGTAATACATCCGGTGAATGTTCGAAAATTGTCACAACAAAACAAGATGATGAATCTAAAGAAGGATCAATACCTGAAGATGAATCAAAATCACCAGCTGATTCAAAAGAAGAGTCAAAAACTAGTAATGTGGGAACGGTGGGGTTGGTTGATTATCCAGATGATGATGATGAAAATGTGAAAAAGAACATTGATGAATCAGTAGCTTCCGAAACTTCTGAAGCTTCCGATAAACAACAAACATCAACTTCACCACCATTATCGCCGCGACCAAGTCTGCCGATCATAGGGAAACGATCAAGAGCTGATGATGATGATGATGATGACCTTTTGGTACGTGCAAAAACTCCACAGCCTGCTACAAACGAGGCATCCCTCTCGTCAAATGGGTCCTCACCCAAGAAAAGTGGATTGAAGATTCTGCGATCGTCTCCGACGTTGAGACCGAAAATGAAGAAGGCACGCACAGAATAATTTTATTTTTATGTGGGTTGGAGATAGTGAGTCTTTATTGGGTGTTTTAATGCGATTTTTAAATTTTGTTATATTAAGTTATTCTTTTGTAACAGGCATGATTGATGATGGCCTTTCAGTAATCGGGAAAAAAAAAAACACTCCACGAAATTATTAATTATATTTAAAAAAATGTGTTTAGACAAAAGCAATATGTGATCAATATTAGTACAAACGAAAATTCATATTTTTTAGTTTCAGTAGTTATTCATTGCGTGAATTTCTGCATGACTTTATCGATCTGTAACTTGGCGTTCGGTTCATCCATTATCGATGAAAAATTTTTGTGGAAAACTTTACTAACTTAATTTTATCTTTTTGTATCTGTTTAATGATTATATTAATTTTACAAATCAAAAATTAAAAAGAGGAAAAAAAAAAAAAAAAAATTATACTTAATATATACAGATCACATTTGATTTCTAGATGAGAAAAAAGAAACCAAATGTCTTAAATTCATTCAGATATATTATCTGTTATTTGTATTATCTTTATATACATTTCACAATATATAGTTGTAAATTTGTTTGATATAATAATATTTTTTTTTTTTACATTTTTTTTTTTTTAAATGTATTACATACAGTATTTAACTTTTTTTCTTTTCAGCGACTATGTGTGTAGTTTTGAGTATTTTTGAATTTCAGAATTTAGAGTTAAATATATATATTTTTTTTACCAAGTACGGATTGTATACAGGAATATATAAAAAAGTATCAATAAAACATGCAACATATTACAACCAGTTGCATAATTAGGTAAGATTTAATTTATTAATTAAGCGACGAACCTGATTTATACGTATATTTGTCATTCCTAACTCATACATAATAGATATATATATATCAGTACGTATCTGATATAATTCTCAAACTCGCGGAATTGAGCATAATAAAAATCTCGCATTGAAGAATATCTAATGTCCCTCACGTGAGATAAACCTAGCATATACAGTATTTCACATATCATGTAACGTGTGAAATATTAAATGATCAGAGGATTCTAGATTTTTCTTTCTTTAAACGTTTTCACTTACAATAAGTGTAAAGTTATTAATCAAGAAAATAAAAATAAAATTTTTATTGTAAGAAAAACTTAAACGAAGTAGTTGAAAGTATTCCGAAATGTTTATTATTGTTCAATGTCTTCTATTTCATCTCAATTGCAATAAATAAATTTAGAACTAGTTACTACCATTTTCTAAATATAATCTTGTAGCTTCGGTCATTTCACAAGAATAATATTTATATATAAGCTTATATTTGGGCATTATAGTAAATTTTTTTTGTTAGCACTTTTATATTGCATATATAATCTATATTTCAAATATTTTTTTTTTTTTTTGTGAATTCGGCAATCTTGCCTCAACTTTATTAGGCTAAAATATTTAACTCACAGGTAAAATATCATTTTTGCTAAAGTAAACTAAAGCATCACCTAAGTTACAAGTTTCAGCTAACCCAGTTGTTCTCAAGCGAATACCTATGTTCAATCTGCTATAGTAAATATTTATCTCCATATCAAAAAACCCTGCAAATGAATTCTTTAATATATCATTGAATAGTATTTATGGCCTATCAAGACTGCCATCTTTTCTAAACTTTCTTCCCCTAGCTTCGTGAGCAGAAGGATTCATAGTCTCCAATTGACTTATGAAAAAAAATACTAACACTAAAGATAAAGGGAACGACACGAAAGGAGGAAAGAAAAAAAACTGCCAAAACAACAAAAAAATGAACAAAAAAAAAAAAAAAAAAGAAACAAGAAGAAAAAGGCAGAAAAAAAACAATCTATGAAAACATTATTATAGCCTGTGCCAGGCATAGTTGTAAAAATTATATATTAAATTTAAAAATCTTGTATATCTCCATTGTAAAGCTTCGTCTTATAGTTAAGTCTCTTCCGACTTTACTGTCCGGTCTGAGTCAGTTCGTTAACCAGAGCGCCAATTGGTTCGTTACGTAGTGTAGGTATATCATTGTCAAAACAATCCCGTGTTTATGTTCTACTTTGTCCGTCTGAAAATAGAAAGTATAAACAATGCCGATCTTTTGGAGGAAGTAAACTAAATTGCCTACTTTTTGTCAAAAATTTTGGTAAGGTCGGCAAGAGGCGGTAGAGATGAAAAAAAAGAACCGCTAGTTCCAAACCAAAGGAGTGTATATACTTTTCTTGCAAAGTATATCAGTGACTTGTTAACCAAGTAAAGGGCAGGTACTTAAAAAAAGTTAAAGAGTGAGTGATAAACTCTAAGCTTGTTGGCAAGTAGCGTATAAGAACTACTTCTAAACAACAAGTGCTCTCTGTTTCAATAGTGAGTGATAAACTCTGAACCTGTTAGCAGATAGCATATGAGAACTACCTCTAAATAACAGATACTGTAGCTCCTTAACTTATCTTACTTATTACTTTTTCAATTATTTAAAAGATTTTGAAATGTTAACAAATTATAAATGTTTTATAAAACTTTACAGGTCTAGCAAACTTTGTATTAAATATAGAATTCCAATTGCTTAGTTGCATTTTATTCTAGTAATCACTTTAAATAATTGGCAGTTGCTGCTCTAAATTCTTTTTAGTAGGATAAATACTGAAATCTATTAGGGTTTTTGCGGTTACTTTAACAGCATTCTATAATAAAGATAATTATTATTAACTAAATTAATTTAATTAAACACAATATATAAAAATATAGTATAATTACTTTAACGAAATTCATATCATTGATAAGATTAAAATTATCTGTTATTTTAGCATCATATCAGCAATTTTTCTTTCAATGCGATCAACTTTCTCAGATAATTCATTGAGTTTATCCATAATAGCCAATAAAGTAATATTATTTAAAAAATATTAAAAGTATTTAAAAAAAATAATATAAATAAAAATTAACAAAATAAACTAAAACAATTTTAAAGAAATTTAACCTTTTAAATAACTATAAACATCTCGCGAAGTACTGTGAATATTTTTGTCAGAATGATAACCTGACTGAGTAGTTGGAGCTTGTAGTATATGAGTGCCAAAAACAAGTAAATTATAAAAATTTCGGTTAGAAATTCTACTTAATCTGGATTTTTTGATCTTTCTTTGCAAAGCCATTTTGAATATAATAAGACAATAATATGATATGATAATAATATGATATGATAATAATATGATATGATAATAATATGATATGATAATATAATATGATAATAATATGATATGATAATCATATAAAAATAAAAAATAAATTATAAAAAGTAAAGAAAATAATAAAAAATAATAAAAAATATGTAAAATAAATTAAAGAAAATTAAAAAAGAGGAAAAATATTCGAAATAATATAAACTTTGGGAAATAAATATTAAGTAAAAATGTAATAATAGAAAATATAAAAAATGTAATTAGAAAAAATAAAGAAGATTTAGAATTTGCAAAAGAAAGTAAGAGAATTTTAAAGTTGATGAATTGAAATATGAATTGAACAAAAAAATTACGAAGATTAGAGAGGTTAAAATTGAGTTATTTTAAATATTTTCAAAATAATTCTAAAGTAATTAAATATGCCAACAGATTTATTATTCAACTGCGATTAAATATTTTGCTATATCTAAAGTAATCAATATTTTATTCAAATATTAAGATTTATTGAGTCATTTAATATATTAAATACATTAGATAAATTATGCTCTATTGATATTTAATTGTTGTTGTACCTTTTCTAAACCCAGAAGCATTACATACGAAATGCCACAAAATAAGATACATATTGGAAGGTAAACTAGTTGAAAAGCCTATTCGCTTTTTTGTTAAAATGATAGGGAGAGTGCTATTGAAAGCAGAGTGGGCTTTCGTACACAACATATATGACAAAACTCATCAAAAAAGAAAGAGTACTCAATCTTGGTCTATGCTGCGCAACATAATGAAAGGTAAGACCAAACAACGAAACTATACTTTCAAATCAAATACATTATAGCTTTTCGAAACAAAGTGTATAAACAACATGCTCCTGGTATTCGAAAAACTCAATCGGAGAAAGCCAGAAACATACAAGACAGATAAATGTGTTATATATAAAAAAAAGAAAAATGTAGAATATTTGGTAAGCTGTAAAACTTTCCTGAACCTACTCCGTAATCTAGAGGAGCAAGTAGTAGAAGCAACTTTACGTGAATTAAAAAAGGTAAAAAGCATGAAGACAACCAAAGAAGAAGTCTTAATAATGCTAGGGAAAGGATCCCAAGCTGAAGAATCATGTAGAAGAGAAAGATGGATCAGAGGCCTAATCATAAAAGAAGACTTCGATAAGCTGAGACCTCTTTTCAACTCAAATAGCCAAGCAAAGAACTTTCTAGATAAACTTTGGAAGAATTGGATAAAAGAAGTTTATGGGAGAATCTGGGTTGCAAGATATAAACTAGTACAAGAATGGGAGAAGAAAAATGGAATCACACCAAAAGATAAAAGAAAATCATATGAAAAGACAAGAAGGAAAAAAAAGAAGAAGAAAAAACTATCTGATAAACATATTAAAGAAAAGGAAAAAGATAAAGACGTAGATGAGGATAAAAGATGAGATTCAATTTTAGAGATAACTAAAAAGGAGGGTTTAAGGTAGATTGAAGAAGGGCAACAAGCAGATTGGTAGAAAAGTAATATGTAGTCTTGATGGGTAGTAAGATCCAGCTAGTGACGTATTATCAAAGCCAATTGCAGGATAAAATAATACAAAGGCGAATCTTACTATAGCAGGTCGCACATAGGTACTTAGTGAGCAACTGGGTGAGTCTTTACTTGTAATTTAGGTACTATAAAGTATAACTCTGTAGAAAATTTTAATAGTTTAGATAATTATTACAAAGCTTAATAAAGTGAAGACAAAACTGCTAAATTTAAAAAAAAAAAAAAAAATTGTTGTTGTACTTTTTAATATATTTAACAACTCCTAAACAAATTTGAAAACTTTTAAAACAATGTGAAATAAAGCAATTACCTTAAATGTAATAACTCCTATCAACTACATATTATTCTTTTAACTTTTTATTACTATATTTAGAATAAGCAAAATAAATTAATCTGCTTGAAAACAAACGATAACTATTTATAGAAACTTTCGCTATCATGTATATT